CGTGTCGTGTGTGTGTGTGTGTGTGTGTGTGTGTGTGTGTGTATGTATGTATGTATGTATGTATGTATGTATGTATGTATGTATGTATGTATGTATGTATGTATGTATGTATATATGTATATGTATATATATATATATATACGAATACAAGTGTATACATACATGTGTATGGGTAAACTAACTTTCGATGCAACCATTTAACCTATTGATTTACAGCTGGCGTACAAAGACATCGAGAAGCCCTCAAAGCTGTGGCTACCTACAAAAATCTCGGTGGCGAACCATCACTGCAGAACTCCTTAGAACTGGCACGACGCACGTTGCGGTATGTACTGTACTTTGGAAGAATGAATCAATTGTATGTATATGTTTGTGTATGTGTATGTATTTATGTGTGTGTATGTGTACTATGTATGTGCGTGTATGTGTACTATGTATGTGTGTGTATGTGTATGTGTGCTATGTATGTGTGTGTATGTGTGTTTCTATATATTTGTGTGTATATCAGTGGACCAAGGCCTTGAAAATCTAATTATATGGGCATACAATTCAATGGTTGCTTCGTTTGTATATGCTTGGACTATATAGTACTATACTATAGCTCGATAGTTCCAGTACAAAACTATATAATTCAACAATTTTAACTACATACGTAGTATTATACAGCGCTTTCAACAACGTACCTGTATTCTCTCGGCGCTTTGAGTGGGGCATATACCTTAGCGTTAACATGTCACCGACTGAGAGACTGTGTGCGCTACAACAACTCCACACGCGTTCATAATATACCTTGTACGACCATCACGCGTACATGGATAAATAGTCTTCTGTCAAGTCTTGCTTAGCAACGGCGCTGTATTCGCTATAGAGTTTTCAATCGAGTTTTGCTTAGCAACGGCGGTGTTGCTTAACAACGGTGTCGTACGCCCAGTGCTCTCGGGTGGACGATATGCATAGGTGTATATGGGAACTCGTAAACGTTTATGAACTGCTACTTCGCCTACTGTTGCCGGCAGTCACATTCCACCCCCAAGGTGTATATGGGAACTCGTAAGCGTTTTATGAACTGCTACTTCGCCTACTGTTGCCGGCAGTCACATTACATCCCCACACTCTGAGTACGCACACTCATACCCTCTCGCGTACTGTACCCGTAACTAGCGAAGAGACTATGTGAGTTAAACACGTACAATGGTTCACTCAACACGTACTGTAGCTAGTCTTGGCATCAGACGCGTTAAACGTAAACACCCTCTGCACACTCTCTTAGTCCATAAATGTCCATCCCATCTGTGAGAAGTACTGGTAACAACGGTTTTGAAGTATTGTCAAACGGTCTACCTACGTTTGCCAGTGTAGTAGTCGGAGACTATGCATGCCAACCCACGACGTTGGGTTTAATGGGATTTTGATATATATA